GACGCGAAAATTGTTTCCGGGTAGATCTGGGCGCTGGCTTTGATGGATTTATCCACAAAGACAAGCGGTGTCATGGTTTCAGAAGTAATTCCTGCCCAAACCATGACAAATTTTGGAAACGGTTCCTTGTGTGTACACAAGGTCGAGCAGAATGTCTGCTAGCCAGATCCAACAATTGCCTGTCGTTTTGAAATCGTGCGCCACTTCCAGTGTGAAGATCTTCTCGCGTCACGCCGACGTCAGTTACTTGCGGCCCACGGTGATGTCAGTTGAGAAGAGACTTGAAGCCTGTATCGCTGCCGAAGGAGGCCATTTCGAGCACTTTCTTCAGTAATGCATTGTTATGTTTTATTGTATATAAAATAAACTTCTGAAGATGTAATAGTTTCTCTTTGTAAAAATATGGTCAATAAACCATGCGCCAATATTTCAGTAGCCACCTTGTAGTTTTCAAAATGGTTTCAAAGCGTATTTTGTTTCCAGAAACGGCAGCGACAGCACTCAAGTCCAAAAAAGGATGCGAAGGAGTCCTCTTCTGCGACCAGCTTAGAATCGACTGCACCAAATAATGCGGAAGGGCCCAGTGGTGAAAGTAAGCTCACACCGGTCGAACTGAAGAAGGCGCGTCAAGAGCATTTTAATAATAGGTGGGTGCTTTGGTGCTATTGTTTTGTTCCATTGAGTAATTCAACTAAGTTTTTTCAGCATGTGTTTCTTCGATGGAAACATACTATATGTTGTCTTTGTTTAAACGACCACTCTTTTGCATTAGAGTACATTCGTTTAGGTACTGCTACGGAAATTTCGATCGCTATTATGGTGCGCGGTTAGAACCTGGCCAAAAGGATAGCCGTTTGTCTATACTGAAAAAGGAATGGTTTGAGAAGAAGAGTGTTTTGGATATTGGTGGGTCGGATAGAGAATATTATTGCAGCTAGCGGCCTTCAGAAGACATCTGTATGAGGTTAGGTGCTTATAGGCTGCAACGTGGGATTCTTAACGTTATCAATTGCACGTGACTATGGGCCTCGCCGAATTCTGGGCATTGACATCGATGACCATCTTGTCGGCGTTGCTCGTAAGAACATTCGTCATTACTGTGATCATGAAACTGAGGTGCCTTTTCGTTTTCTTTTTTCAAATGGGCCTTGTGATGAAGCACTAAATTCAAACGATTCCAGTTTGTTGGAAAGTTCCCTGCGTCTTTCTGCACCAACTTTGGTCCTATCTCCAACCACACCTTGTCTTTCTCCACCAAATTTCCGGATAACGTTTGGTTCCGGCGGGAAAACTATGTTCTGGAGAGTGATGAACTTTTAGAAACGGTATGTATTGATTAACTATTGCTATTGTTTTTACAAAGTTGAAGGAGTAATATTTTGGGTTTTCCAGGTGGAAGAGGAGTTTGATGTGATTCTAGCATTAAGCATTACAAAATGGATACATTTGAATTTCGGCGATGATGGCCTCCGACGTTTTTTCCGTCGTGCCTTCAATCAACTGCTCCCGGGCGGTAGATTCATTCTTGAGCCGCAGCCGTTCGCCAGCTATAGGAAGAGAGCGAAGATGACGGTTTGTCTTGTGTGGATTTGTC